TTATTATTTGAAACACAACAAGATGAGTCCACAGCAGACATTCTGCTGGCTGTTGTATTGGATCACACATCGGACACTTCCCAAGTGTATAGGACTGTGTGATGTATCGGTGAATAATGCGTGCAGATCCCAGTAAGGTGGCCTTCTGCAGCTGGCAGATGGGAATTTTGTCAGCGCTGATTGTGTTTAAGTGCAAGCCAAGGTCCTTAGGCACTCCACCCAGTGTGCCGATCACCACTGGGACCACCTTTACTGGCTTGTGCCAGAGTCTTTGCAGTTCAATCTTTAAATCCTCATATCGTGTCAGCTTTTCCAGTTGTTTCTCTTCAATCCTGCTGTCACCTGGGATTACAACATTGACAATCCATACTTTGTTTTTTAACACGATCGTGAGGTCAAGAGTATTGTGCTCCAAAACTCTGTCTGAATTCGGAAGTCCCAGAGTAGCTTGATGTGTTCATTCGCTATATTATTATTATTATTACACAGAGACTGAAAAATGTGTATGCATACATTTTATATGTGTCACAGGATTCAGTTATAGAGACTGCCTGGAAGCTGCAGCTAGTCCAACGCTCGGCAGCCAGACTACTAACGGGTGCTGGGTACAGGGAGCACACCACTCCGCTGTTACACCAGCTCCACTGGCTGCCAATTACTTTCCGAGCACAATTCAAAGTGCTGGTGTTAACCTATAAAGCCCTAAACGACTCCGGCCCTGTTTACCTCTCCAAACGTATTCTCCCCTATGAACCATCAAGATTATTAAGATCGTCTGGAGAGCCCCTGCTCTCGGTCCCACCGGCTTCGCAAGCGAGTCTGGTGGGGACGAGGGACAGGGCCTTCTCGGTGGTGGCCCCTCGACTCTGGAACTCTCTCCCTCTGGAGATCAGAACCGCCCCTTCTATCCTGACATTTAGGAAACAGGTGAAGACATGGTTATGGAGACAGGCATTCGACGAATGAGCCAACACCCTGAGATATGGATGGAGGATGATGAACAACGATTTTAGTGTGACGACTGACCATTGTAGTTATTGTATGTAATTGTTGTTTTAATGTTTTACTGTAATATGAATTATGATGTTTTATTGACTGTATGTGATATTATGGTTGGAAACCGGTCTGAGTCCCTCAAGTGAGATAAGAAGGTCGGTATACAAAACTTTTAAATAAATAAAGTAATCATGATAGAAAGTATAGCCGAAAAAAAGAAATATCTGGGAATAGCACTCTAAACTGGAAAAGAGAGTATGAGGTCAAATAGATCAATATAATGTTACTAATATTCTCTATAGAAAATATGTGGGTAATTCTGTTGGTTTTGCTCTTTTTAATATATGGTTCCAACCTAAGTCGGTCACGCAAAATCAATTATATTTTGTTTGGCTAATACACCAAAATGCATTATTGAGTATTCTGTAACATATATATGTATTTACACTGAAGTAACTTGTTGATCACTTGAAGTGCAAACTATAAATTGTTCAAACTATCTTTAACCAGGGCACAGGCCTTACTGTTGTCTATATACTGTAAACTGATAGATTTTTCCAGAGTCATTACAGAGTTAGGATTATATAGTGTTCCTTTTAAGCTATAGATACTTTAAATAACTTAATTAGCAGCAGGGAAAGAGTTTATTAGTAATCATGCAATATAAATAGAGCCAACCACAGGCAAAACTCTGCATACAAACAAAGGCTATGTCCCAGGGAGACTGAATTCCCCCTCCATTCGCCCCCCCCCCCCCACCACCACCACTACCTTTCAAAACCACATTCTACAATTCTGTATTCTCCTTTTAAAGGTTTCTTCAGTTCTAAAGCAGCTCATACAATTTGCTGGGGGTAAGTGTGAATGAATGTCTGTGGATAATCATGCCTCTCTCCAAATCAAAGCAAGATTGATTGATTTTTGTCTGTGGGAGTTGAAAAAATGTTGAATTTTATTAAAGTGTAGGATTTCTTGCTTCATGTCAGACCGAGGAAGAATTTGAAATGACTTTATGTCTCTTCTTTTCTTGTTTGTTTATTCCTCAACTGGTTGCAATTAAATGCAGGAATTATATTAAAAACTTCAAGAGATACTTTCAAGCCACAACAGAAGACACAGATCATTTCCATCACTGGAAACAAGTCCAAATACCACTTCCTTTTTGTTTAGTATCATCTAAAGAAGACTATTTAGATGCTGACGCTAGCAGGAGCGGGCCGACAGTCATAAATCAGATAATGGAAGGGGTGGGGGTCCAAAAAAACTTTATTTCTGGGTTATAAGTTCATGGAGAAGAGAGTATGAGATACTGGGAAGTCCTGAGCAAAATAATCCATTTATACAAGATCTACCCAAATGAGAAAAACTGTAACTTCACTTTTGTATAGTGAAAGCACTTCTCCATACGGTTCCAGCCCAGCATGCCTGTTTGAACGTATCTCCTTCTACATCCCACCTCAGAGCTTAAGACGGGGAGGCCCTGCTCTTGGCCCCGCTTCTGTCTCAAACGCGCTTGGTGGGGATGAGGGACAGGGCCTTCTCGGTGGTGGCCCCCCGCCTGTGGAATTCACTCCCTAGGGAAATAAGATTATCGTCATCCCTCCTCTCCTTTAGAAAGAATGTGGATGTGGGACCATACCTTCGTGTAACTGTGTCACGTTGCCAGGGCTCTGCCGTTATTTCCGGCAGAGGTGAATCAAACAAACACCCAGTTTGTGTTAAACAATTTAATTAAAACAGCACTTACTTTCTGGTTGTTTCAATAGTCCAAAACATAAAACATAAAGATAGCACTCAGCCACAGAATAAACAAAAACCGATAACAAAAGCTATACTATAGTCAAAGGGTCCAGTCCAGTGGTCAAACACTGAGAGTTCAATAAATAAAGACCAGGGATCAAGAGTCTATATTGTAGTCAAAAGCCACTCCAGAGGTTCAAGGTTCCAGGGTTCCAAGATTACAGGAGACAGGTCAGGATAACGACAATCCAACAAACTTGGGGAAAAACCAGCAGCATCTACCACCAAAATAAAACTAATACTTTTCTCCCTAAGATCAGTCCCAAGGCTAACTCCTTATATCTAGAAACACCCAGCTACAACCCATCTCTTGCACACTTCCAGCCTTAATTGCTTTCACCCATGAACTCTTACTTGCAAAATACTCAACCCTTTGGAACTAAGACTTACTTAACCCTTCCATCACCAACTCCTAGTTGATTTTAATTGTATTGATTTAATGTTTTGAACTATATATAATTACTGTATTTTATTATGTGTAGAATCATACAATCATAGAATCATAGAGTTGGAAGAGACCCCATGGGCCATCCAGTCCAACCCCCTGCCAAGAAGCAGGAATATTGCATTCAAAGCACCCCTGACAGATAGCAATCCAGCCTCTTTTTTAAAGCTTCCAAAGAAGGAGCCTCCACAAGACTCCAGGGCAGAGAGTTCCACTGCTGAATGGCTCTCACAGTCAGGAAATTCTTCCTCATGTTCAGATGGAATCTCCTTTCTTGTAGTTTGTACATAGACGCATCGAATTGTTGCCGGCTGGAAGCCACCCTGAGTCCCACCCCAAGGGGTTGAGAAGGGCGGGGTACAAATATTCAAAATAAATAAATAAGTTTTTGCAGTTTAATAAACTTTTTCCATGTTTTTATGATAGAAACGATTAGGAAATGACATTTATAATCCAGGAACAAAAAAAATGGTTACATAGTGTTGTCTGTACATAAGACAGTGAATTCAAGCAGGCTTACTTTCGAAAAAGACTTGCATAAGTATGTACCAACCCAATTCAGCAGCGAGAATGAACACATAAGAGTAAAAAAATATACAAAGAATGGCGGAAAGGGGGATAGTCTCTTTCCAAACCTTGATAATTGTACAGTCAGCCATCCACATTCATAGGTTTGACTTCTACATATTTCATTATTATTCTCAGATTTGATTAAAATATTCTCTCTAAGAAACTTTAGATCCTTGTAAGTGTGACTCTAACATCAAAATTTTCAAGAAAGTTTTTTCTTCTTAACCCGAGAAAACATTTCTATGGGAATATGCAGATTTTTCAGTGAAATTCTATGCTCGGCTTCCAGTGGATGTTGAACATAGTCATGTTTTTTCTCGTGTCAGCAGCAACTTGAGAAAATGCAAGTCACTTCTGGTGTGAGAGAATTGCAAAGACATTCCACAGGGGACGCCCAGATGTTTCACCATCCTGTGGGAGGCTTCTCTCATGTCCCCGCATGAGAAGCTGGAGCTGACAGACAGGAGCTCACCCCAAAGGACCTAGAAATACCATGTTTTTAATTTGCAAGTTTTTTACTTTCACGAGAGTACTGTGCCCCTAACCCCATTGAATGTAGGGGGCTGACTGTAGCACTATTGTTCCACTTTATTTGCCATATTTCCATCCTACAAAATTCTGGGATTTGCAGTTTGGTGTGGAATATTTAAAATCTTCAGTTGAAGAGCTCTAGTTCCTCACCAAACAAGAAAATCCATGATTCCACAGGATATAGCTGCGGAAATGAAAACGTCATACTGTATTTGTGTAGTCTGAAAAGGCGCCTCCATTATATGTGTTTGCTCCACTCCCTGCAATCCTAACCTTTACACATTCTGCATGAAATTATTATTATTATGAAATTAAAACATCTTCTAACCATGTTCAGCCACATACACTGAGAAACTTTCCCACAACTGGGAACATCCAAATAAGACTAATATTATACTGTTATTTATGGATATAGACTGGAAATCATCAAGCCTATCTTTAAATATTGCTTAAGATATTCTCAAAAGTTCATAAAGCTAGAGCAATAAATTCCGCACCTCATAAATATCCAACAGAAATTGGCAGTTTTCTTTTTCTTTTGATTAACCATAAGCACATAAATACTTCTCTTGAGAAAGTCACTATATGCATGCCACACTACAGAAATTAAAAAAGAAAATCATGTTGTTATTATCGAAACATCTGGGTTTGGCCTTACTTGAGATGACAGCAAATTGCAGTCTACATGCATTCCTTTCCCTGTTGTATGTCGCTGAAGAAGTGCAGCCATAATTGCTCCATATGCATACAGTCCTGTGGCAAGATCAGTCATGGCTACTCCTGGTCTAACTGGTGCACCCCCCTAAAAGAAAAAGAGGCAAAAAGACAAGGGAGAAAGGGCTTGACTTTTCAGCATCACACACTATACACCACCGTCTTTATTTTTCTTTAGAAATACCCACTAACTACATTCTTGTCTGAATCTTCTTTAGAAACTGACTGGCAGGATGTCACTTTCAGTTTATAACATTGCCGCAAAAGATCTCATTGATCCACCTGTAGCCTGTAATAAGATCTGGAATAATTCATTACACCAGTGGTTCCCAACCTGTGGTCCGTGGACCACCAGTGGTCCGCAAGAATTAAAATATGGTCCGCGACCTCACCATTACTACACGGTTGCAACAAGGGCAACTGGTCTCGCGAAAACTTCTTATAGTGCCAAGGCTTATTAAATATGGTTTTCTGTGGGCGAGCAGATGGCGACTACTGGATGGCACATGTTCTGTATCAGAAACTAGAGCTGATGTGGACTATCCAATGCAGTTTTCTGAATCAGCAACCCAAATAACCAAACCAAATCTGAAGTTGAACAAAAACTGATTCATAACCCTTTTGGTACTAATGTTGGAGAGTGGTCCCTGGTAAAAAAAATAAAAAATAAAAAATTGGGGACCACTGCTTTACTCTCTGCCATGTTACTATGATCCCTTTAATCCATGCTACAGCATACATTTTGTAGCCACTACAGTTTCAAGTTACCATGACACTGCATTAAACAGTCAATGTAGATGGGGACCTTGCCATGTTGAGTAGCAAGATGCAAAGGGGAATTACTTTCCTTGCAATGCTGCTAGATCTCACAGGTGTAATCTGACCATATAAACACAAAGGAAAAGACAACATTTCTGGTTTGCCTACTCTGGAACATGCAACATATAACTGTCCTTCTTAAGTGGTCCCTTATAAATCTATGATACTATATCTGCCATATACATGTGTGTGTGTGTGTGTGTGTAAATCACATATATCTATCTCTATCTATGGCTGCATGGCTCTTTGTCAGGAGGGCTTTGATTATGTTTCTTGCCCTGGTGAAGGGAGTTGGACTGGTTGACCTTAAAGCAGCATTTCTCAACCTGGAGTCGGGACCCCTGTGGGGGTTATGAGGAGGTGTCAAAAGGGTCACCAAAGACCACCAGAAAACACAGTATTTTCTGTTGATCATGGGAGTTCTGTGTGGGAAGTTTGCCCCAATTCTATCATTGTTGGGGTTCAGAATACTCTTTGATTGTATGTGAACTATAAATCCCAGTAACGACAACTCCCAAATGTCAAGGTCTATTCCCCCCAAACTCCATTTGTGTTCATATTTCAGTATATGGAGTATTCGTGCCAAGTTTCGTCTAAATCCTTGACGAGTCCATCCTTGACTTGAGTCCACAGTGCTCTTTGGATATAGGTGAACTACAACTCCAAAACTCAAGGTCAATGCCCACCAAACCCTTCCAGTATTTTCTGTTGGTCATGGGAGTTCTGCGTGCCAAGTCTGGTTCAATTCCATCGTTGGTGGAGTTCAGAATGCCCTTTGATTGTAAGTGAACAACTATAACTCCCAAATGATAAAATCAATCCCCTCCCCCAACCCCACCAGTATTCAAATTTGAGCTTATCAGGTTTTTGTGCAGTGAATGAAAATACATCCTGCATATCAGATATTTACATTATGATTCATAACAATAGCGAAATTACAGTTACCAAGTAGCCACAAAAATAATTTTATGGTTGGGGATCACTACAACATGAGGAACTATACTAAGGGGTTGCAGCATTGGGAAGGTTGAGAACCACTGATTTAAATCTTTCCAATGAAAACAGGTAACAAAGAAGAGGAAGTTAGGATTACAAAGTATTAATAGTTGTGTAGCTCTATCCACTACGTACCTACCTGGGATTGAGCCCTACTGGCATCAGTGTGGCTTACTTCCGAATAGATGGGCAATGAAAATTTAGTTATATAAATTTAGAGCTTTATTACAGACATTATGGAGCTGAATCATATATATTTTTGGATCTTAATTTCTACATGTGACCAAGACCTTATCATATAAGAAATCAAATTCAGATGCCATTTTTTATTCACTGCAGCTTTCTCTCTGTTAATCAACATATGGCAACAGAGCTTAATGCATCATGGAAAATCATAATACTTTGCAGAGGGCTTTTCAAAATTACTTCCAGCATACAGGACCATTCAGATTAGATGGCCAGGTGCTAAAGCCATCTTCATCAGGTAGTTATGATGGCAACCATCATTTTAAAGCAAATTCAAGATCCTTAAAAAGAGACAGTGCTATCGGAACGTGTAAAGCTGATTGGGCACCCGTGAAGTTAATTGTTACAAGATAATTCACTTACACAATAAAGCAGTGTTTCTCAACCTGGGGGTCGGGACCCCTGGGGGGGTTGCGATGGGGTGTTGGAGGGGTCGCCAAAGGCCATCAGGATACACAGTATTTTCTGCTGGTCATGGGAGTTCTGTGTGGGAAGTCTGGCCCAATTCTATCGTTGGTGGGGTTCAGAATGCTCTCTGATTGTAGGTGAACTATAAATCCCAGCAATTACAACTCCCAAATGTCAAGGTCTATTTTCCCCAAACTCCCAACAGTGTTCACATTTGGGCATATTGAGTATTCATGCCAAGTTTAGTCCAGATCTATCATTGTTTGAGTCCACAGTGCTTTCTGGAGATAGGTGAACTACAACTCCCAAACTCAAGGCCAATGCTCACCTAACCCTTTCATTATTTTTTGCTGGTCATGGGCATTCTGTGTGCCAAGTTTGGGTCAATTCCATCTCTGGTGGAGTTCAGAATGTTCTTTGATTGTAGGTGAACTATAAATCCCAGCAACTACAACTCCCAAGGTCCAGAGAATGAAAATACATCCTGCCTATCAGATATTTACATACGATTCATAACAGTAGCAAAATTCCAGTTATGAAGTAGCAACGAAAATAATTTTAGGGTTGGGGGCTATCACAACATGAGGAACTATATGAAGGGGTCACGGCATTAGGAAGGTTGAGAACCACTGCAATAAAGGAATATAACAACACTACAACAAATTAAAAGAATGAGGAGGGAAACTGCAATAGATACTTGGAAACTGTTTTGTGATGCTCTCTTCAGGATTATTTTCTGAATATGCCACCAATTTTCTAATTCAAACATTTCAGAGTCTACTGCTCTTGGCTTTAATCTGCTTCCAAATGTGTTGGCTAGAGATCAAAGCTTCACAGGAAAGTCTGAAAACCAAATGATAGTACCAGGTGCAATATCGTATTTCACCTAAGCGCTGATCCAACTCAATAGAGATCAATTCAAGCTGGAACATGTTTGGAATTATCTTCAAATTTTAGCCATTTAGAAAAGTTCCCAGTCCTGGCTAGATCACAATGCACACGTATTTAGAAATCACATCGTTTTTCCTTATTCGTCCTATCTGCAAATATTCTAGAGGTAACTTCTGTTTTACTACTACTTCTTACACCAGCAAAAGCACAAATGGTGATAGTATGATAGCTGGGTCCCAGTGCTGTGAGCATTATGTTATTTCTGGAATGGTGCTTCGGGAACGCAGATTGTGGAACACAGGGGTGGGACAATACCACTGAAGCAATTTAACACAGGGGGGACACAGCAGTGAAGGAATGTAAATGGTCTTTAATGAAAAATGAGAAGCAACCATTTGGGAAACTGTTTGAGGAGACCTTAAACGGGATAGAAATCACCAATCAGACCTAAAAGATTATTAAATGCTTCCATGTTGTTCCCAGCCCACATCCACCCTGCCCACAAACTGGAGAGGGTTGGCCAATAATTCTACCTCCCTGGAAAAAAGTCACAGTTTGCTCCGTTGTCCGAAAGTGGTTAATAAAGAGGATGAGATGGATTTTACACCACTCCTCGTATTTCTCTCCTCCTTTCTATCCTTCCTTCTAATGCAACAACAAACAATCTTCCCAAGTTTGTCCCCCCTACATCTTTCAGTCCGGCCGGTCTCACTCCGCCCCCTCTATCAACCACGTGGTCGGACACATGTTTCCTTCCATTATTCACAACCAACGTTGCGAAATCAGCATAATGCTCGCTGCACAGGGACCCAGCTGTCATACTATCACCACACCAACTACTGACAAAGGTTTGTGTTTTTCTTAAAAGTGAAGTATCAGGATTTCAGTGTTTGGATTTGCAGATAATTTAGTTACAATTGAATCATCCCCACCAATCAGCTCTATACAAACATGCATATTATTATTAAAGTTTCATTTATCATGTTCTAAGTTTTTAACAAAGGAATCAAAGAAAGAATAAAGTTATGTTGGTAAACGAATCAATCGAGATTTTCAATTTTTTTTAAAAAAAATCTTCCATCAAATCAGAATAGCCAGCCATAACACACAAATACAATCTGAAAAAGACTATGGTAACTATTATATCTTCAGAATAGAATGCTAATGATATAAATACAAATATGAGATGTGATCAAAGCACTCCTTTGTACTGAAAAAAATCCTTTCGGTAATACAGTAAAACCTTGACTTACAAGTGAACCAACTTACAAGTTTTGTGAGATACGAGCCAAGGGTTGATTTTTTTTGCTTGGACATGCAAGTTGAGATTTGCGTTACGAACCAGTATGAGAGTATGCTCCCCACCATATTAAGCAGGTCTTTAAGGGAGCAGCCAGGAAAGCTCCTTGTCCTTGCTGCTATTTCTGCAATCCCAGGATTTGGGGAGATTGTAGGAAAGCTGAGCGATCAGGAGTGTATCATCAATAAACTTCTATCCTGATTAAAATAGGGAAGTTACACAGATAGCAGTCGTTCTCATAACTCCAGCTAAAATGTAAAATGCTCCTTACTAAACTATTAGTCCAAGGATTCCACAGGATAGAACCACGGGAGTCAAAGTGAATTTGGGGACGGGGGATAAAATAGATTTCAGGGATGGCCGGAAGGATTCGAACCGTGATCTCCAGAGGCATAGTCCAATGCTCAAACAATTACACCAGTGTTTCTCACACTCTGCTCTTCCAGGTGTTTTGGACTTCAGCTCCCAGAAATCCCAGCCATTTGACCAGCTGTTAGGAATTGTGGGAGCTGAAACCCAAAACATCTGGAGGAGCACAGCTTGAGAAACTCCACATTGCACCATGCTGATATTGGAGGTATTTGAGAGATTCTAGTTTTGGGAGAAAATTAATGTTTACCTGCTGTTTTATATATGTACTTTGGAGGTGTCTGCATCTTTTCTCATTGAATATATGTGTGTAAAAGACAGAAATAATTGTTTTGCGCATTGTTTTTTAGTTTTATGGCACATCCTGTTTTAGACTTGTGCATCCATGGTATATATTTTTTGCTAGGGAAGATTTTTTTTGTGGTGGCAGTTGCTGCTCAAGCCATTTTTGTCTTTACTAACTGAGTTTGTGTGTGTGTTCTGAGAAAGTGGCACATTACTGGAGTTTTGGTTTGTAAGAGTATGTGGAGTTTTATTCTTTTTAATGCAAAGGAATCTGTCAGATGTTAATGTTATGTCAGCTCCTCTGTTATGTCAGCTCCACTGGCTGCCGATCCAGTTACGAGCACAATTCAAAGTACTGGTTTTGACCTATAAAACCCTATACGGCTCTGGCCCAGCGTACCTGTCCAAATGTATCTTCTTCTATGTCCCACCTTGGAGTTTAAGATCTTCTGGGGAGGCCCTGCTCTCGGCCCCGCCTCTATCACAAGTGAGGCTGGTGGGGACGAGGGACAGGGCCTTCTCGTGGTGGTCCCTCGCCTGTGGAATTCACTCCCCGGGGGAAATTAACATCCCTACTCTCCTTCAGAAGGAAGCTGAAAACATGGATATGGGACCAGGCCTTTGGGTAATCTGGCAGACTGACAAGGTAATGACGACCAGAATTTGGGAAGGACTATGGTAATGCTGAATGGACTTACGGATTTTAGAACTTCGGTGAACGTTGGCCACTAGATTGGCTTTTTAGTTGTTATTGTATTAATTGAATGTTTTAACTATTGTGGCTATTGCTGTTATGTATTTTATTTGTTGAATTGTTGGCATCGAATTGTGCCGGTTGTAAGCCGCCCTGAGTCCCCCCCTTAGGGGTTGAGAAGGGCGGGGTAGAAGTGCCCGAAATAAATAAATAAATAAATAAATAAATATGGCGGTAGAGTTAGGGATTACCTAATAAGGCCTTTTGCTTGGAGGGGTATTGTTTGGTGATTGACTGAAACCAGTTTCAAATAAATGCAACATTATAGTCTTCTTGTAAATTACAGCATACCAGGGCTATTTCTTTCCACTTTTTAAATATCTTAAACCTCATTAAGCTTAATCATTGTTATTCACTGTATTGCCATATGCAACTGCAAGGTTTCAAACATTTTCCTCCATTTGTAATAATGTACCTCAGTTCCTGTGATGTGCAAAAGGCCAGAGACAGCAGCTGCAACAGAGTCATACCCTGCTTGTTGACACTTCGGACCAGTTTGTCCATAGCCTTCAAACAGACAGACAAGTAATTACAATATAAACAATACTATTGGCTAGCTCTTTGGCAAGAGTACTATAGATAAAACAAAATGAATTAGCTAATCCCCTACACCAATCACCATACACACAAAGGCGGCTTATGTCAATCAAGATCCACATACTGAAATTCCTAAACAAGGACACATCACAATTGATTGTTTTATCCATGGATTTATAACTAAATATATAACTAAATTTATTTATAATTTTATTTATAAACTAGCCGTCCCCTGC